GTAATAAAAAAAAAAAAAAGGACAATAGAAAGAAGTAAAAAGAGTTAGAAACAGTACATAGTGAACAAATTCACCCCAAATTCTCCCGATAGGGCACACAGCAGAAGAAATGCCAGAGGGTAAATTCAAAAAGCAGACACAAGTCGTCCTTGAAAGAGAGAGCTGAAGTTTAAAAACAACACATACTATTCCTGCTCGTCCAGACGTTGATAGTGCTGATTCCGCCTACGGCTGAGGGAAAAGAAATTACTAAAGTTCATGCTTGACAGAAATCTGTCAAAATATGAGATCATTCATTTGGAGGAAGAGCATAATATTACTCAGCTGAGATGCAATGACAATTCTTCATTTCCCTTGGCTCAAGCAAGTTATTACATGTAATCAAATCAAACCTTCGATGAATTTTGCATTCTTGGTGTTAGATGTCATGTGACACAGTTGTCTTTTTTTATCAAATCAAAAAAAAAAAACTTTCTGATTGGACTGCATTTTTATATAGTTAATAGCACGTATTTTCAGGTTTGTTGACAGCTTTACAGTTCCACATTACTTCACCACAAACTTCACTCTGTTTGGAAACATTTGTACAATTTCGTTTGGTGCAGAAATTACACAAATTCACCTTTAAAAAGACACCAATCCATAACAAACACAATTATATTGATTAGTTCAGGTAAATTTGATGAGTATCTTGAGAAACCCTCAACCAATGGACTCTAGGAAGGAAGTAATAAAAAAAAAAAAAAGGACAATAGAAAGAAGTAAAAAGAGTTAGAAACAGTACATAGTGAACAAATTCACCCCAAATTCTCCCGATAGGGCACACAGCAGAAGAAATGCCAGAGGGTAAATTCAAAAAGCAGACACAAGTCGTCCTTGAAAGAGAGAGCTGAAGTTTAAAAACAACACATACTATTCCTGCTCGTCCAGACGTTGATAGTGCTGATTCCGCCTACGGCTGAGGGAAAAGAAATTACTAAAGTTCATGCTTGACAGAAATCTGTCAAAATATGAGATCATTCATTTGGAGGAAGAGCATAATATTACTCAGCTGAGATGCAATGACAATTCTTCATTTCCCTTGGCTCAAGCAAGTTATTACATGTAATCAAATCAAACCTTCGATGAATTTTGCATTCTTGGTGTTAGATGTCATGTGACACAGTTGTCTTTTTTTATAAAATCAAAAAAAACCACTTTCTGATTGGACTGCATTTTTATATAGTTAATAGCACGTATTTTCAGGTTTGTTGACAGCTTTACAGTTCCACATTACTTCGCCACAAACTTCACACTTTCAAACTAGTAATGTCAGCTTGACCTGTTTGTAAGCAAGATTAATCTATGACATAAGGAAACAGTTCTACACGTTTTAGGGATGAAAACGTGTAAAATGACTTGGGACAAACTCATGTACATGTGATAATGGTAGGAGTGCAGTAAGTAACTGTTGAATTATTCATTAAAAAAGTAATGCACTGCCAAGTTGTACCAGGCACTTGGCTTCATGATTGGACTTTTCAGGGTTTCACTTTTAAACTTTTATGACATTTAAATAGAGAACTGGGCAGTCATAATGTACGTGTTGTAATTCAGGGAAGTGTTTATGGAACTAAATGTTCAAAACAGATCAATGAATGTTGGATGGGTACACACAAAAACTCGCCTCCTTAAATAATCCTTAAAAAATGGCTAGATGCCACCCAAGACTTGGTCTTAAAATATAGTTTTATAGACTCAAGCTGAATCATGGCTTTTTTTTTTTAACTAGCCTGAAACACGGAGAGCAGCTTTTGACATCTGCGTATTAAAAACAGCTTTTGACATCTGTGTAGTGACTGTTGGATCTGACAGGACAAAAAATTATGATTGAGATGCCCCGAATATAATCAGATCTCCCTTAAACGTAATCTCTTGTGCACTTACATGCCGGTCAAACCAGTTTCCAAATCGAAGGATGCGAGTGTGATTGAAAGGCAGGGCCATATTACTAATCAAATAAGACTGGCTGAGCTTTTGGAAAGGTAGAAGCTTCAGATCTGTACAACCAATCCATTAGCTAAACCCATTATGCAGCTGCTGAGGTCATGCTGCTGGCTTGCAGCGTTCAATGCAAGAAACACACTGCTGCAGGATGCCTTTTCTCTTTTATTTTGCCAAATCAGAGGTCTTGTCCAAATCGTGACTGATGGATTGAGTGTCCAGCTGTAAATATGCAGCCTGACGGTTTCACAAAATGTTACTCAGTGCAGGAAAGATGAGTGTTTGTTTGGGGTTATATTGGGGCCAAGAGCATGCTGTGATAATGCAGCCAGCTGAGGCCGCAGTATGAAACGCTGGGAATACGGCCGGAATGGTGCAGTTGTTGTTGTTTTGTTTTTTTGAAATACATTTTTCAATATTATGGTAATGCAAATTTGAATTATTGCACATTGCAGTGATGAGAATAACGACAGAACAGGCCTACGTGTGAAATGGTAAATTCATTTTTGTTTAAAATTGTATATTAAAGAAAGCTGCTATTAATTTTTTTACCTGTCAGCATCAGAGACCAATGCAAGACGGCCATAATCAAACGCCACCTTCCTCAAGACAGAGAACACACATAGCAGCACCTGGAGACACAGAACATACACATTACACATTCAATTTCACATCTCATTCCACACATGCATTTAAATGCAAATCCCTGTTCACAACACCACAAATATGTGACAAATAGCACATGCAAATTAAGCACAATTATGAAACACACATTCCTACAGTGCTAAAATTTAGAACTGCTGGAAAACAAGAACGTCACTGATTTTTTTTTTTCTGAGACCCAAAATAATCAGAAATATGTGCATTGTGGATCATAAAGGCCTGCAGAATTTCACAGAAAGCTCTGCTGACGTCCACTGAATTTGATACAGTTTTACGCATCCTCAGCCACTTGTTTATTAACACTTACATTATGCATTTAGGAGATGCTTTTATTCAAAGTGACTTCAAATAGATTAGCATAAGCAATTTGTCACAGAACCAGCAATATTCTCAGTATGCCACATTTATAAGATTGCTAGATTTGTGAAACAAACTAGAGCAGTGGAGAAATGTAGAGAAGTGAAAGAAAATTATTATTATTATTATTATTTTTTTGCAAGTGCATTGGTTTAGGGTTGTAGAGTGGTTAAGTGCTGGCAGAAAAGGTGTGTCTTTAACTGCTTCTTGACAGTTGTGATAGTTTTCGCAGTTGGGAGGAGGTTGGCAGCTCATTCAACCAGAGAGAAGCAGGGAAGATGAAGGTTTTGGAAAGCGACATTGTGAAGCCTCTTTGTGAAGGCGCCGCTCATTCAGTGTCTGTTTTCATTTGAAAGTCAACATGGAAACAGCTTTCACAACCCATTTTATTTCTGTAATGTGATGCATTAAAAAAACAACAAAAAATTTACTTTTGGATTGTGAAAAGTAGGTGTTCCATACCAAAATAGACTGCGTTTTCCTTATGGTGTTGGATGTCCTATTAAAAAGTCCATTATCTACAAAAGTAACCTAAACAATGACTAAACAACTATTTTACAATGGGTTAACATTCAACGCCTGAATCATGCATTAGACCAGGAACAGGTATTAAGAAAGTAAAGATGATAAAGACTGATTGCATGTTGACTTTGAATGACAAACTCATGGCAAATGAACAACAACTGAAAATTGTAAGCTTGTGATGCACACCAAGAAGCACATGAAGTCAAGGGCGAGTACGGTGGGCACTCCTCCGAAGGGCAGGCCCTGGAGCACGGTGCTGCGGATCCGGGCCGAATAGCAAAAGTCCTTGGAGCCATTGGAGCTGGAGCAGTTGTCAGAGCCTGTGCAGACCTCAGCTTCACCGGTCGCAGCCATCATGAGCAAAGCTAAGACAATCAGCATCCTCAGTACTGCTGCATAATGAAACTCCACCTGTTAGGAGACAAGATGTAGAGGGTGATGATGCGCATTTTAAAAGTGAATTTTTAGGGGTATACTAGCATACAGATGACTCAAAGCTCTACTATTGATCACATCATGGGGTCTGTATGTGCAACGGGAAAAAAAATAGCCCACTTTCATTGCATGAGTCTGTTATTTTGCTTACGATCTTTTGCGTTTTACAGAAAGAAAGAAAGTTCGGAACAACATGACGGAGAGTAAATGATGGCAGTATAGTCTTTTTAAGGAGAACTACTTTAAGAAATGGCATAGACAATTCAGATTTTATAGAGAATTACATAGCTGAACTAGCATATTTAAAGATCAAAAAGGCTACATTAAAAGCAAACAATGAATCTGGCTCAAGCTTTCTTCTAAAAAGTAAAGAGAACGGTTTTGGAAATAATCAGACAGGAAAGACCAGTCCTGGTAACCTATGAGAGAATGCAGAGAAACACATCAACACACATCGGCAGCCACAGCTCAATATCATAAATCAGCCTGGTGTCTAAAAGTGTGACTTAGCAAATTATGTAACTGCACGAAAGCTTTGCTGTGAGTAACTGAAAACAGATCTCTACATTAAAACATTCGTGGACCTCTAAGACACACAGACACATCTATATTGCTCCTACAGTGAGATCAGCCTAGGGCTAAAAAAATGCAGGATTGAAAGAATTTCACATTTCTTGTTTGAATGAGGGCTAAATACAAATGAAAGGTGAACATTAATTTATTTGTGCTGGTTTTTTTTTTCTAAAATATTATATGGTTTTATATGAGGTGTCAGAGACTTGGCAAATTCATTTTTCATAAGTTTGTATGCACAGACATCTGTTGTGGCGTTCTTGGCAGTTTTTACGAGGCTTTTTTTAATAGTGTTCATATCGATATCGGAATTATATCGTATCGACTGAAATTAAGAAATATACCGTGATATACATTTTTGCCATATCGTCCAGCCCTAGATCAGCCACGCAACTGCTTGACAATGGACAAACAGAGGTCAGTCAGTCAGTTCAAGCTTGACTCTCTGAAGCAAAATGTGCCAAATGTACCAAGTTCGTCCTGAGGGAACAGTGTAAAATTCCCAGCCAATACTGTCTATTTCAAATATTAAAGAATAGTTCACAGGAATTTATCTTTCATCTGTGAAGCAAAAAAGAAGAAATTTTGATGTTGCAATGGTTTCCCCTTTTTTTCCCAGTCTAAAAAGCCCCATAAAAGCCTTATTAAAGTAGTTACTTGAAATAAAATAAAGGTTAACAAATTAAATACAGTATAAAAAATAAACTTATTTTAGCTAGCTAAAACAAAAACAAAATACTGAACTAAAGCTGAAATAAAATGTATAAAACTATACAGACATTATAATATAATAAAAAACACAACAAAAGAATAATAAATATAACAAATATATATAAAACATTCAAAACCTATAATAGTATGTCAATGGTACTAAAATAATGATGCTTTAAATGTGCAATCAAATTAAGTGGGGTTAATTTGAACTGATGTCTGCATTGCCACGGTTAAAGAGGTTAAACAGATATTACAGTTTAATCTGCTTGTCATTTGTAGAACCAAGGTTATGTTAACCGTGACCGCAGGTCTCAGACTTTTCCAATGGAAAATAAATACAGCATATAAGGGTGATGGGGGAGAGAAAGTCACATGCAGGGTTTCCTAACAAACCAAGTTCTGTGCCAAACCAGCTGAAGGTGAGGTCAGTCATAAGCATCATCTTTGACATCATTTCACTTCTGATACATCAAGGAAAGAAAGCACCAATTGCTGGTTGCTGAAATACTATATCACCCTGCAAAGAAATTTCCACCATTCAGGGAATTTTGACAAACAAATAGCGCCAAAGGAACACTTTAGTGCCGCCCACTACCATTAAGGACTGCAAATGACTAGGGGTGTAAATCGGATGGTTCGTCACGATACGATACGATGTCGATTCTCATACCCAGCGATATGATATTTGCCGATACCTCAAAAAATTCTACGATACGATTCGATTCGATACAGGAGTGTATCGATCGCTATATCAATATTATGATAATATATCATACCTATTTTAAACAACCATCTACATTTTTATTAACTCACAAATGCAACCAAAATATATAACATGAACATTTATCTGAAATTTTCACATCCTGTACCTCAACTGGGACATTCACAACAAAAAATAGGCCTACACTTTATGTAATTTTGTCTGTATTTATTCATCCATGCACAAAAAAAGCGGAATAGAGCTCAATTTATTATTCGCGCGGTGTAGACACTGCTGTCTGTGTGCTTGCGCACGCTTCAGATGTGTGCGCAGAAAACTTCTCATACAGCGCTCGACTGTTCCGCAAACAATCCCGAGCATCTTTTATGCTCACCTTGTGCCTTCGGGCAATCCTTATATCGAGTCCTGATTAGACTTGTGCCGGTATTCGGTAATGCGATATATCACGGTAATGAATATGCACGATATTGTTATCGTGGGCACTTCTGAATACCGTGAATAATTATATATTACAAATCCTGTTATACTGTATTATGACAGCACTTTTTTTAAAACTTAATTTCAATATCGTGATAATACCGTATACCGTAATAAAAGCATTAGCAATTAATCGCAACATGAAAATTTGATACCGGCATATCCCTAGTCCTGATACGTGAGTTTGAACGAGAATGCACGCGCGTTGGCGGTAATGCATAGACGGACATTATGTGAAAATGTGGACAGTGCCAAAATAAAGGTGCCTATTTATACTACAGATATCGATATTTTACGCGTGGCATCGATGCATCGTATCATCAGACATCGTATCGATGTATCGATCCATATCGATGAATCGTTACACCCCTACAAATGACAAGTCAGTCTCAAACTACTATTTTTTTTATTTTGCAATAAACAAATATATTGTTCCTCTCTCTCTAAACATCTTTAAATCAACAGTTTCTAATTCCACCAGCATTTTTAATTCATTTTGCAATGCTTCATGGAATTTAAAGCTGTGAAGTACATAATCTTGTACCTTTGTCTTTTTGTTCGAGTTTCAAAATCGAGTTTGTAATGTTGTGATTCACCTCATAGCTGGTTGGTTTGGCTCATGGCTTATAAAGGCCTGTTCACACAAATGACAATAACTATAAAGTTTTAATAATCGTTCTAATTCTTGGACCGTAGTATATAACTATACCACAACTATAATGATAATGACAATGAGGAATATCGTTGGAATTACTTTCAGAACTATTTTTGAATGATAAAAACATTGACAGCCAATCAGAAAACATCTTGCTTTCAAAAGCATTTAAAGTGGACAACAATACTGCATTGTGCATTTATAATAAACAGAACTATATTGTGCTTTGGTGTGGACTCTAATATAGTTATATTTTTTAGTGTGAATGGGCATCTTAAACGAAGGCTTTTATAAAGTCCCCATGGGAAGGGGTTTGTGCAAACTTCTGCAACTGTTACTGGCGCATTTAATCACACTAAACAGAATCAAACAGCTGGAATGTCAAATTAGATTAACGAGATGCATTAAATTCAACCATGTTAAACGGATTTAAGAAATCGCAAATGTTAATGCATTGCCTTTGGCAGCCGTCGAACAGTTCATACTTTCTTGCCTGTAGACTTCAGACTAGGGTCTCTAGGAGGCTTTGGGACAGATGGCTGGGACATCCACCCCGCTGCTGTTCTTCTGAACTCAATGCTAATGCCGAGTCATGAAAACAAACAGCGCATGACAGTAAACGTTACAAGCTTGTGACAGCAAAGCACTAATAAAAGCATCAGGTTGCAAATGATCCATATTATAGAGACCCATTCACAGAGAGGCCTTCTTTATTTATGTTCAATTAGGCCTGCTGCCACATGGACAGATCTTGTGATTTCCTGGCATTGCGTATTCAAAAGACACAAAGTTGAGCAGCGCTCCATGTGAGTCTGACAGCCAACAGTCTGAATAAGGCCTGTGAAGGCCTCATGTTGAAAGCATCCTGATGTTGTAAGGCTGAGCGCTGATAGATTGTTGCTCTTTAATCTGTTTTTGAAATGTCTGAAAATGTGGTCAACAGATCAATGAGAGAACTGATTCTGAACAGGTCACTGGAAACTACAGCAAAGCACGTGCCTTCCCGTAACATGCTGACACTCGTTAAGTTCTGAACTGAAAGTTCTGACCTCAACAAGGCTACGCACCACTGCTGATTTGTTTGTTATATTCAATTATTTATCTAGCTCATGATGTTGCTTTCCTAGTATCGATTAAACAAATGGCCTTTCTTGAAATGGAGAGATATTATAAGGAGCCTTTCAAGCAGATGGAAATACCAGCATAAAAATCTGATGTAACATTTCTCCAGTGCTGCTGCTGAAACTGATCTATAGCACAGCTTCACTGACCTCAGTTGTGCCAGTATCATTAGACTCGGCTCAGCAAAATTCACATGATCTTTCACAGTAGTTACGGTGTCTGTGAAAGTTCATCATCTTAGGCCAACAGTACTACCAGGCTTATTGGCTCACTGACGCTGATGAGATTAACCCCTTAGGTATCGAAATTTGGTACCGAACGACGAGACGTTTTTCGATACTCGATGGTATCGGGGCAATTCGGTCGGTGCCTAAAAAGTATCGAACTCGATAGCCAGCCCTAATGGGTTATACTCACTGATCTATATATAATGACTTCTCTATTATTGATTATAGTTCTACTGTATTTTGCCGCTCACGTCCGGTGTAGACATGGTTTTTAATGTCGTTGGTGAGGAGGAAAGCCTGTGTGTGTCCTATGCCTTAGCGGACAGCATGAAACCCCCAAAATATAAATAAATAACAGAGAGAGAATATTAATAATAACAGTTATTCTCTCTATGCTATTTTTCAATGTTTCAAGTGATGCAGGTGTTTTATAGGCCTGGCCTACAGAAAAGAACATTTATGTTTAATCTATCTAATATTGTGTTGG